TGTATGTTCAAAACTATAGATGAAGGGCTTGGGAAAACAGCGGGCACGGTACCTGTTCTGCAAGCATGAGAACCTGAGTTTAGATCACGGGCACCCACATACAAAGTCTGGTATACAATGTACATCTGTGTCCAGTGCCAGGAGGAAGAGAAAAGAGATTCCTGGGGGCTCGCTGACCAGCTAGTCTACCCAAGTGGTGAACTCTGGGATCAGTTAGAGCACCTGACTCAAATGTAAGGTGCTGGAGGGAGACACTAAAATTGACCTATGTCCTCCACACATGCACTTGGGTATACAAGTATACATCATACATGGTGTGTGTGTGTGTGTGTGTGTGTATGTGTGTGTGTGTGTGTGTATGTGTGTGTCAAGTTCACATGCACACACATCACAGTCCTCATCGTACAGAAGCACTCGTGTTCCTGAGACCATGAAGTTGAGCATGGGTTCATAAAGTTGACCTGGTTCCCCTGTGCTTAGAATCCCCCAAAATTCCACTGTAGGAAGCCACAACTTTGATGGGTAATGAACTTCTTAGAGAAATAAATAAGAAACTTTGACACAGAAGCCGAAGCGGGGGCGGGGAGGGGGGAGACAACAGGAGGAAGTGGAGAAAGGGGCAGGTGATTCCTCATGGTAAGTTAAGGCTCAAGGACTTTGGACTTCTCTTTGAATTTCTTCTCTTTGAATTTCTGTTTCTATCTATGTGAGGCAATTCAACAGCCTCCAGTTTTAAATTTAATGTGTTAAAAATAAAAACCAATTTGACCTGCCAGATATCATATCACATTTCTGACGGCTTAGCTGGGTCTCTAGCTAAAGGGCACGTCTTCTGGGTCACTGCTCAAGGTCTGCAGAGTCATGGACATTTCAAAAGTTCCTTATCGTCAGCCTTGGGGATTAACAGCTCTTCCCTAGTTACTGTGGCCGTTCCTCGTTCTCCATTTTTCTTCCCTGAGCTTTCTTATCTAACCCCAGCAAGCCTTAGGAAATGTACAAAGAGATCTTTGGTTAAGCGTTTAATATAATAAAATATAAACACACACACACACACACACACACACACACACTATGGCCAATAATGAGTTAAAATTTAAACAAGAAAAGCTAGCGAGCAAAGAGACAAATGATAAAGGAAACTATCTCCCAAAGTTGTGTACTTGTGTAAACCAATTTTAAGTCTTTGTAAGTGACAGCAAGAAGTAAGGAAATGATAGTTTATTGCTAGCTAGATTGCAGATATGCACATGGCTAGCAAAACCATGTGCAGTTTGCAATAATGTTTCCCTCAAAAATATTTATCTTCATTATCTGAGCTTATTTAGTACACAAAGAAAGAATCGAATGATCAAAATTCACCTGATAGACGATGTGGGAAGCAGTGAGGCTTCACAGTTACTGATGAGCCAGAGAATGTGCTTGGAATCAGCTGTGATCTGTCTCCACCTGGACCAGCTGCACACTGGTCTCTAGCATCCGGTGCTACACCATGCTATGTATGACATTTGTAAGCATGTGCCATCAGAATAGAAAGCTTAATGTCCCATCCAAGTTTCTCCAGATGCAGTCATATCAAAGTTCTACAGCTTGGCTATTCCAAGATTCCTGTTTCAGTGAATGGGAGGGCAGAGAGAAAAAGTCACCACCATCTAGGGTTGTTGTTTGTAGGCTGTGTGTGTGTGTTATGTATGTGCATGCATGTGTATGTACGTATGTGTTCACATGCATGCATGCGCGTGCATGTGTGTATGCACATGCATGTGTTTGCGTGTGTGTGTGTGTGTGTTTGCATGCGTACATGCATGCATGTGTGTGTGTAGTATGCATGTGTAGAGGTGCACATGTGTATGTGGGCCTGTGGAGGCCCGAAGTTGATATCGGATTTCTTCTCTGATTACTCTATGTCTTATAAATTGAGACAGAGTTTCTCTTTTCCCCTTCAACCCCAGAGTTCACCAGTTCGGCTAGTCTAGCTGCCTGAACGCTCTAGGGATTTAACTTCACTTCTGGAACACTGGCATTTCAGGTGGACCAACACGCCTGCTCAGCATTTCCACTGGGTGCTACGGATCTACACTCCAGTCCTCAGGCTTGCTTTGTGTGGTACGCACTGCACCCACTGAACCGTCTCTCCAGCCCCAAGACCCCTTGCTTCCCACTTAGCTCTGGGACTGAGCCTCGCCGCAGTTTCAACCCCTCCTATTCCTCCTCCTGTTCTCTAAACTATTTTCCTTGCTTTCAGAGGATGACCTCATTTCTTATTTTCATCGAAAAAAGAAACATGCAAAACCAAGAAAGAAGATTTCACCCTCCTGTCCCCAAATCTCCCCACTTCCTTATCTCTTGGCTGGACAGCCTCTCTCTCCTCACCCTTTCCTCATAGCCAGGACCCCTTGGTCCCCTGCATCCTACCCGCCCTATACTATCCTGTAATGGTCTCTTCTCCCCGGTGTCACCAGCTTCTTTGTCTTGGATGTTGAGTCATTCCCATCAGCACACACACGCCTGAGTGACTTTCAGGTGATCTCTTTAGGAATCTCTCCATCCCTTATTTTCTTCAAGCCCCATTTGGCTGCTTCCCTCAAACCTAGAACTTCACCAAGAGTTGTCCATACTTGGGCTTCCCTTCATCCATTCATGTAATCCTCCGAGCTCACTTGAGTTAGATTTAACCAAACTTGTCAAAGAAAGCACCTCAGTCCCCACCGCAGTGGTTTCGAACTCTCCAAGAACAGTGTTCGTCTTTGCTGTCTGCTCAGTCTCCTCTTCCACGTTTACCCGTCTTTCCTTGCCTGACGTCACACCTAGCTCCACCTCCTCCCCAGTGCTCCGCTAGGCTCCTCTCGTCCTCCTTGGAAGCTGCTCTGGCTCTGATTACTGAAGCTCCCTGGGCTCGCCTAGCCTCTGCTTTATGCTCTTCCTCATTTGCATCCACTCTCCAGGTTCTTTCCGTTCTCTTGCCTTGGGTAATGTCTGTGTTCGGAACTCCAGAATGTTACCTCTGATTCTGCTCCTGAGAGCCAGACTTGCAGATTCGGCCTGGTTCTTTATCTTTCATCTGTATCTTTCAGGCATCTCTAATCCAACATACTCCCAAAGCAGTCTTAGTTTTCCTTCCAAAACTGTTTCTCTGCCATATTCTTTCCAGGAGAGCACCTCCAGCCCCTTAGGCTCACAGCAGAAACACAGAATGAAGCACGATTTCTCCGTCTAACACCCAAAGGCCAAGGCATCAGGTCTTCCAAATGAGATGCAAACATTCCACTTTTCCCCAAGATCTCCATCCTGAGTCAGTTGCTCACATGCTCTCTTGTAGCCTCCATAGTTGCTGTTTCTGCTCTGTGGTCTATAAGCTGTCTTCAGTTCCCAACACTCAGAAGGCAGGGTGTCTTTCTGTACCCTTGATCACTCCTCAGGCATGGCAACCATTCTGTTTCCACCATGTACCTTCACATCTGTTTTTTCCTTGACTTGGAGGCTGAATTCAGTGACTGGGTCAACGTCACTATAGTCACAACGCATCCGTGCTAGCACTCTGCTTGCCCCTGACTGCTGTCTTCTCTTCCAAGTGTAAGAGCTTCGCTTTTAACCTCAGCATCCTTAGCTTGCTTCCTTCTTCACTTTGCGTGTCCTCACTGCCTTCCTTCTCTGTGAAATGGAATCCAGCTCTTGGATAGAATCTTGCCACATAGTTACTTACCCAGGGCGTGCTAGGTAATCTCTTCCAAAAGAGCCTACTTTAATTCTGGCTTTATCATATGAGTAAGAACAGGAATTACCAAAATGCATAAACAAATATTGAAATGAATATAAATTTTGTTCTTAATTTCCAATGATTCAGCATGGGGATCTTGGGAGAAGGTTGAAGAGGAGGGGGAGGCAGGGAGGGGAGCAGAAAAAAATGTAGAGCTCAATGAAATCAATAAAAAGATAAAAATATCAATTAAATATAAAAATTTGCAATAATTCTTTGTAGAACATCAAATTCTTTTAAAGTCTAAGTATTGTCTTTTAAAAGACAACGGAAAGAGTTGGAAAGAGTTGACTCCACGAAGAGGGAATCCGGAGCAGGGCAGGTGCCCGCTGCTCTTTCTTGCTGTGCCAGCACCCCTTGGGACAGGGCTTTGATAGAAATACAATTGAATTAAAGAAGGAAGACTGGAAGGAAAGCCTATGACATGTTAACAAGAGGTAACTAGCTAACTCTCTGCAGCGAGGACTTAGACCATCAGCTATTTTCGTTTCCTTCTTTGTTCTCTACGAATTCATAAATGGTCTGTAATGCGTTTGTATGGGCCTTAAAATAAGATATACATTTCACATGCTGACTGGATCATGGAGAGCTAGGGAAGACGTGGTGGGAAGCATTTTGAGGATGCTCTCATAGGAAGTAGAATTCCCAGGATCTTCTGGGAATGTATCATCCATTCAGTGTCTTACCAGAGCCTTGAGGTCCTGAGGCAGGAGGATTGGGTTTCTGTGATGCAGAAAGAGACTGGAAATCATGGGAAGGTGATAAACGATGTATCAGGATGCTGTCACAGGACCCTGTTGCTCACAGCTCTGTCCTGAACATAAGAAAGTAACACTTGAGAAAGGTTAGTTAGCAAATGGGGAGCAAGCAGGCACAGCTGAAACCAGGTAGGCAAAGACAGACATTTCGAGCCATCTGACTTTGAAAGAGCAGTGCATTTGCCTTTAATAATGCATATGGCCAAAACAAGTTGGCACAGAAACCATTATTCAATATTTGGGGCAGAGGGAAACAGACACAAACTGCCTACCTTCCTGGGCCAGGCTGCCTGGGGGAGAGAGAGGTGTGTCCTCAATTCCCACTGCTCTGGGTTAAGCCTTGGTGATGTGCGGGGCTCTGTAATCTCTTCTGACACCTGCAGAAATGTTTTGCAAATTCAAATGCTTGGAACTCTGCAGAGTCAGGAGGTGAAGCATCACCATGCCTGTGCCTTCTCTGCTTAATAGGAGTATGCTGTCTTTTGCAGGATGGATGGTCACAATATCACTTTGTAGCCTCATCTTCAACCATTGAGAGGGATCGACAAAGGCCCTACTCCTCCTCCCGCACACCCTCCATCTCTCCTGTGCGTGTGTCTCCCAACAATCGCTCAGGTAAGAGCCAGCTCAGGCCATGGTTTCCTCCTGAGCCAAGGAATTCATGCCCAGCCCCTCCTCTGGTCATCCCTCTGAGAATAGCTATCTGGCTTGCACACTGGGTAGTATGTGGTGTATTTTCTGTTGTGGTGAGCAACCCTGTTGGCTACACACAGACCAAGAACCAGTCTCCTCTGAGCTTGCTTCCTATCTATGTAATGTCCTTGTGCACTCAGGGAGTAAGAAGTCTAAAGGAAGCATTCACACATCACAGTTACACAAGTATTTCTAGCTATCCCATACTCAACTCACTTTCTATAAACTATGAGTCATCAGTAAATTTATATCACCGCTAACATTTACACATAATTTTTCTCTCACTTTGTCACATCCCTAGCACTTTAATTTTGATCTCAGTTTATTTCTAAAATATTTTATATGATTTTTCAGTCATTTGAGTAAATCCAAAGATTATATGGAAATATTAAAAGTCAATTATGTGTGTCATTTGGTAACATAAGCATTCTATTGTTCTCTGAAGCATGATTGATAAAAACTCAGAGAGAAAAATTGGGGTGCAACCTGAAGGTCAGAAAAGCAAAACAGCCAGCTATTGGCTCTTACCTCTACCTCAGTCCTAAATGGCGATCCTGCCTCCAGGAATCTCAGAAGGAGACTGAGTTTGAGAGCTGTTTCCTGCCATTTTATAATCCTCTTTAGGACTGGAATTAAAAGCATGTACCACTGGGATTAAAAGGTATTCGCTGCCCAGTTTCTATGACAACTAGTGTGGCTACTGAGATTAAAGGTGTGTGTTACCACTGCCTGGCCTGTAAGGCTGACCACTGGGGCTGTTTTACTCTCCGATCTTCAGGAAAGTTTTATTTATTAAAATACAAAGGAAATGCCACTGCAGTTCTCTACCTCAGCGGATAGGGTTTTAAGCTTATCTTTTCATGTCTGAATGTTTATTTCTTTGGCTGAGGAATAAATGAAGATTCAATCAAATGCCCTCATGCATGCCCTGATGTCTAGGCTCTTATTTGTGACAAGCTTCTATTCCCTGCCCCGCCCCTGACCCCCACTGAGGAAGCCCTGTTCTCTGAAACAGCATTTTGGAGAGTTGGGGGAAAACAATCTGCTCATTTAAGTGGCTTTTGTGTCCCTGAGGATGTCTGTCCTCAAACTGTGACAGATTCACTTGTCATACAGTTGAGGAAAAGCAGAAACAAAGAGAGAAATTTTGAATGAAATCAGTTACTCTCTCCAAGCTCCATGAAAGTTTGTATATTCAAGGGATGGTTGTTGCTTAGGACATCTGATCCAACCGTAGACGAGAATCAGGAGCCCCCTATAACTTGGAAGTACAGAGGTGGGCACATGCTTCTAACTCTACAGTTCTGAAGGCTTAAAGAGCATCTGGGGCCCCTAGGAGGCTGGTTTTTTAAAGGCTCTACCTAACTAAGAGCTACATCCACACAAGCAGGGTTGGAAGATGAAGTGGCAGAGGAGATGGAAAAAGCCATGTCTGGAGTAGGCAGACAAGGGCCAGACTGGGGACGCAGTCAACAAGTGCTTTGCCTTGGTATTTCCTAGGCCAGGCACATCAGGACACCTAATAAACATTTGCTCGCATGAATTGATCTTTCCTGGAGCTTAAGCCTGATTTACTGAAGACTCGGGGCATCACTGTGTGCAAGGTCTCCGGAGATAATTACACACTTCATGTAGCTTAATAAACGTCGCCATCTGTGCAATATTAGACTCTCATTTTAAAAGCTTTGGTCAAAAGACTCCAAAATACTGTGCCTTCCTGACGGATAGCACTGACACCTAAGTGGCCAGGTTCTATGCAAGGATACCCAGGACCAGAGGAACAAGGACAAAAGAAGGTGTTTCCCAGAAGAAAAAGTTTAAGCAGGAAAGAGAGAAGGCAGAGAGCTGTGAAAGTGAGAGCCCCATAGCTGATGGGCAAGAACAGGAAGGAAGGACTGAGCACAGCCAAGCTGGGGGCTCGCTGGAGCCTTGGATGTTCTCACAGCAATTCTCCTTTGAGTTCAGTATCCTAAAGATGCAGAAAATGCAGAGTCCTTTCACCATGCCCCGAGTCTAATCCAGCCTGCACAGACAGCAGCCAGGTCCTTCTCTGTTCCCGCCTTCATCGGACGCGGATTCCTTCTTGAAGAGCCCGAGTCCCTGTGTGGCGGGGAAATGGCACCCTTGAGTCAGATCGCTATTTCAGGTGCATCCAGGAGAGTCACCTCAGGTCATGTCCGACGCTCCTGAATTCCCACTGGGTGCTTTGACCCAACTGGTATTGTCTAGGGCTCAAGCATCTATATTTTTTTTTAGGAATTTGGGGAATTCTTTCTGATAAGTAGTTGGGGTATGAAATCTCCAAGTACCTCAAGAGCTGAGCAGTGAGCCCACATTTCATTTTGATCCATTTGGGATGTGTAATGAGGTTCTTCTGGGGCAGTCAAACAGCACCTCTGCTTACTTTCCTAGCATTTGGTGTGACTTTCCCTAAATGCTTCCAGGTCCAATTCTAAAGTCCCCGTATGTCTATTTTCCTGCTGTACTGGGATACCCTGGGTTTAGCGGGCATGCTACACTTCCCATCCCTGCATCTGATTCTGGCTGGCACAGGGATTTACACACCGAATTTATTCAGTTTGACAGAATCCAATGACTCACATGGTGGAAAGAGGTACATTCAGGGTAGAAGCAAGCCCTGTGTGCCGGGGCTGAGGAACCCTGTACTGGATTCAAATGATGCTCTGAAAGGTAAACTGAGGCATGGTTGGAAAAGCAGCTTAGACACTAGCAAAGAAGGCTTTATGTTAAAAGTCAGTTTCTAATAAATAAATAAATAAATAAATAAATGCAACCTTTATTTATCACTCACTGTGCTTGTTAAGAGTGGATTCCAAGGACGTTCTGTGGAAAATTCAAACCAGAAAGGGTCAGGATTTTGTGGGAAAGCCCTAAACTTTCAGACAGATCTTTGAGTGAATCAAGATTATGGAACATTGCCCTGGGGCTTAGGAAGTCAAAGGAAAATGGAAGATAAACGCACACCGTGGTTTATCATATTGCATCTGATGCCCCCATCATGGCGCGAATAAGCCTGGCTCACACCCTATAGCACCAACCCTATTTTCTGCTTCTTCCCGCAATCAGCTCACTGTTGAGTTGCTACCAAACCATCTCATGAACTGGGGTTTCCATGTTTCTGGTGCCAGTTTACTGAAAATAGCCTGGAATTCCTCCAGGGAGTCCTTCCTAGAATTACAACCCATCTCCTTTACAAATAGGAACATGGCCATGGTGGGGTCCATTCCTTATGCCCAGCAATCAACAAGTAGCTGAAATGTAAGGGGTGCCATGAGACACTATTGACATAATCACCCCAAGAGCTGAGCCCTGTAAGGAAATAAAAGCAAAAGGCAAAAACAAAACAAACAAAAAACCATTCTTCCCACTTATCCCAGGCTACCTGGAGAAGAGCCTCATGGGTAACATAGTTCCAACGCCACAAATTCCCTTCATGGGAGACATTGCTTCCGTCTTACGTAAATCAGCATCTGAGCAACTCTGTGTTGAAATCACATTGTATTCTTTTCATCAGGGACTTTTCCGTGTCAGCGTTGTTCGAAAATCCTTTATCCAAATGGCTAAAACCAGAAATGTTTCAGGTTTCTCATTTTTAAATATTTTTTTAGCCTGGAATAATTTCGTATATATCATGGAGACACTGAGCAGAGAACACAAGTCTAAACACAAAATGTATTCGTGTTCCCTTATGGACCTTTCCCACAGCCTGGAGTCGATTGTATAACATAGTCTGCGTCACTTGGGGTGCTTTGACTGCAGCCTGTGTTACGGGGCAGAGTGTGGAATTTTCCACCTCAGTTGTCATGTCAGTGCTCAGAAAGTTTCCGATTTCAGTGTTTGTACTTGGGGTTTTCAAATTAGCGATGCTCAAACTGTAGCAGCTCCTTTGAAGCATATCTAATTAAACAATAAAGTGAGGGCGAGGGGGAGAGAAGGGAAAAAAGCTCAGAAGAAAAAAGCAGTCTCCTTCCGAAAGCTCTTGTGTACACCTAGGGAGGGTCGTGTCTCCGCCATTTCTACCCAAGGAAAATGATTCCAGCATTTAATCCTCAGTTTCCCACCTCCAAGTCAAACTGTCCCTCTTATGATGAAGCAGCAGTTGCATGGATGGAGGGAAGATGGTAAGAACAAGAGTCAAGAGAAGTAACGGTGAAAAATGAGTGATCCATATACAGTACTGACATAGGTCGGGCCGTGTGTATTTGTGAGGTGAACAGTTACGTGAAAAGCTGTGTGTGCCACGGAGTGAGACACATTATAAAATCTTTCTCATTTCTTTATATAGCAAGTGCCCCAGCTTCACCTCGGGAAATGATCAGCCTCAAGGAAAGGAAAACAGACTATGAGTCCACTGGCAACAATGCCACCTACCACGGAACTAAAGGAGAACACACTTCCAGAAAAGACACCATGACAGGTAAGCACTATCATGACTTAGGATCAGTGACCTTGATCAGGATCAATGTTGACAGCCAGGGGGACTGTCAGAGCACTTGAGATCTTGAAAACACCCGGAACTGGAGGAAAAGACAAGGGTATCACAGGATTCTCATTGAGACATTTTCTTCTCCTACCGTGACCCTGACAATGCCCATGAAGCTTCTAGAGAACAGATGAGCTTTTGTCTTCATCCCATCTCAATCGGAGCCATCATCCTTTTCCATCCCCTAAGCTGGGACTTTAGGGAAACTAAAGTGAATACACTTGGTGCCGGCTAGTTCCTCTCCCATTGAATGCCTTGCTCATCTTGACTCGTAAATGGGCGTGGCCTTACATATCCTTTGCACAGTTTTCCTGGGGGATTTACAGTCATCTTCAGGGTCTCCCTTTCCCTGATAGCTTCTTTTAAGAACACAGATATAGAGATGGAAGAGGGGAAGCGGGACATAGGAGGCTCTTGTAAGGAATTTAGATCGTCCAAACTAGATTCTCAGAGCCGCGCGACTTCAACAAGGGACCAACGCAAATCTTTACCACATGGAGATGAAAATGGGTCCCTCCTGAAGATAGAATGTGAGTAATGGGCCTTTAAGAGGAGATCAGGTGGTCATATCATTGATAGAAATGGGGTGCAAGGGGTGTAACCCTAAAGTGGCGCAGAGATGCTTTCATCGGTGCACGCTCCAAAAGCACAGGGCTTGGGTCTCTGATGTTATTTATGCGCAGACCTGCAGGGAAGCAGAGTAGACAAATTGGATGATTTATTAAATGTCTCCCAAACCCAGGACAGATAAGATAAATTTTTGCAATAACAAATCTATTTACCCCAGCAGCAGTGTCTTCCTTGTTAACCCTGCACAGCTGTGTAAAGAAACATGCGACGAAGATATATGTCCCTTCTACACCCCCAGGACCACGTTCTGCCTTCGTGTGCAGATCCCACATGCCACCCTTGATCCAGAAATGCCTCTTGAATGGGAGAGATGAATTCATTTCACCACCATAGCCTATCCTTCTTTTTCACTGTATTTTTCCCAGCCCTAAAAATGTTGTTCTTGCCGTCATTGAATATGAACCAAGAAAGTTGAGAATCTGAGTCCTCAGCATAGAGGTCCCCAGTGGCAAATCTAATTCATACTGATGAGCCTGAATTAACAATGACAGCAAATTCATCTGACCAGTTTGGTTTATAATTATTCTTGCCCCAGGTAGCCACAGCTCCAGAGTCTGGGATGACAGATTGAGATTATAGTTACAAGAGTAATTGTTAGATTGATTGTATGACTGTCATTTGATTTTACTGTTGCTCTTCCACTCTCCGGCACAGTGGCATCATCCCAGTGGATTTTAAGAGCAATATGTTTATGGTGAACTAATTCTAGTGATACATGAGTTTGCCCACACACATACACACAGTAAAATAAGACATGTCTCATGTGCCCGATAGTCTTCCTGCCTAGGAAATGGCCAAGATCTTGACAGCCCCACTACATCTTAAGTATGGAATTCTTTAAACCTATTTAGAGGCTCAACAACTTAGGTTAGTTCGAAAGAATGCTATCAGTCATGTAGTCAACCTAGGAGAACTCTGAGCTCTTTACTGAGTGTGTGTATATAAGAATCTCCTTCTCAAGTCAATGGTGTTTATATAAAGCTGGTTGTTATCAGTGGAAGCAGTGAGGGTGGGGAAGCAATCAGGGAAGTGGAGGTGATGGTGGTGGGAGCAAGAAGAGAAGTGAAGGGGCAGAGAGGCAGTGGGAGCAGTGAGCGAACTGGAGGTGTCTGAGTGCTAATGAGAGAACTGGAGGTGATGGTGGTGGTGGTTGGTGTGGAGGTGGTGGTAGTGGTTGGTGTGGTGGTGTTGGTGTTAGTGGTTGGTGTGGAGGTGTTGGTGTTAGTGGTTGGT